CTACAAAAAAAATCATAATCACTGCGCACGCATTAATTATGATTTTTTTTGTAGTAGTTCCTATCCTCCAAAGAAGATAGGAACTACTACAAAAAAAATCATAATTAATGCGTGCGCAGTGATTACTTGAAGATACTTTAAAGAATCACCGTTAAAAAAGGGACTGCCGGGGTATGCCATTTCTAAGCGAATACAGGTGGCTAAATACGAGCCAAATATCGCTGTTACCAACGAATAATAGAAGTATAGTAACCCTAATTTTTTATGGTTTATAGTGTATACTCACTTCTTAGTTATAAACTTTTTAATAATAATAATATTTTGCACAAGGCAGTTTAAAAGCTGAAGAAAGAGAGTAATAACGATAATAAAAACAGTTTTTAAAATTTCTCATCTAGAGATTATTCTCTGATTAGACAATTAAATATACTTTCATAGAGTTAATTCGTTACTACTATATAGTATATTTGAAATGCTTTGTATTGTAGTAAAATTAACAGAGATGTTTGTGGTTAAAAAAGACTTTAAAACAGAATAAACTTCTAAAACAAGGGAGTTTAGTAGTTTTTCATCATATTGTATATGAAATCAATAGTAGGTTAACTCCATAAACTTTTTTGTTAATCATTTGATTCACTGCACTAAGCAGAATAAATTTAAAATATATAAAATTAATAAATTTTGAACATTATAACCTAGTAATATATAGTTTATCTTATTAACTTCAAAACACTTTACTAAAAAAAATACCCAACTAATGAAAATAAATATAAAATGTCAATACTTTGCTATTAAACATAAAATAAAATATTGTTGCTTAACTCTAATGTTATTTTGCTCAGATTCCAAAACTCATAACTGGTTACTTGAGTCAAAATTTCAATTTTTATCTGTATAATATGTTAAAACGTAAACAAATTGGTAACTTTCGATATACAGCGTATAGATGATGATTAAGGAAATTAAACTAAGTATTATAATATTTTGGTAATATGTTAAATAATTGTTATTTAATATAAGAACATAACTAAAATAAATTGCTAAGGATAACAATATTAAACTTTTGTACGAAGTCTTTAATTGAATTAATAATTCTTGGTTTAAACTAGAATAATCATACATATAAAGTGGTTCTTGAGAACTATTCAGAAAATAGTAAAAAAATAGTAAAAAAAGGAAACCCTCTATTAGTCAAAAAGTCATACCAGTACGCTTTCAGAATCTTTGAATAGCAGATGTAAACTTTCCGTATTTATATTTATTTAAAAAATTATTGAATGTACTCATTAGAATATAAAATATAACTAGAACAACAAATCAAACAGCAATTTGTTTGGTAAAGTCAATTTGTATAAAAAATAAAGACGAGTAAAAATAAAGACCACTAATAATTGCTGGAACCAGTATTCACTTTGATATATTTAAGAAAAGTAAAAAATAAGTACTCACAGCAGAATAAATAGATTTTAGATTATGTTGTTTTATAAAAACTAATTTTTTTACCGAAATCTTTAATAACTTAAGACCTTTAGAGAGTATAGAGTAATTGTTATCAAAAAAACTAGAGTGGTTATTAATGAATATTGTAGATAGGTGATTATTAATTCTTTTTTGAAAATTAAATCTATCTTCAAATTTAAAAGTAAAATTAGTTCAAATATTTTTTTGTGTTAAACTATTTTTCAGCTTAAATAAAATATAGTAATGTTTTAATTGTATCATTTAAATAAGTTTTTTATATAAATTTCTATTACTACTTGGTTTTCAAAAAAATATATTTAATTTTTTTAAATAAACAGGGTTAAGTTTAGCAATTAATATTATGTATAAAATATATGTTTGCATAATTTTGAACAACGAGAAAAACAGGAATCGAACCCATAATGACAGTTTTGAAGACTGTAGTTTTACCTTTAAACTATTTTCCCAACAATATTAATTAATACCTTAGACATTTTATTGGTGTTAATATACAGGAATTAAAATGTATCAAAAAAAAATTTTACATT